TTGAAGAACTGTTTCATGTTTAGTTTTCATTTTTGATCATCCTGTCTGGCTTTTAATTCAATTTTGGTCAGGTCAGATGGCATGCTTTTTAATTAGTGACAAAAGTTAGAAAAACATAACATCAAGAAGCTTGTATCAAGTTTCTGAAGTGAACCTGTTGACTTCAGTGAGACGTGTTCTTTGTTATAGACGCACCAATAAACTGCTTGTAACTAATTAGCTGAACAGTGGGGTGCTGCAGGCTTCAGCACAAAAACATAAACTAGGTCAAAGCCCTCATCTTGATAGTGATTAAGTACTCCTTATGGATTTAAATAATTGTACATGTTTGGTTAATTATACCAATTTAGCTTGTTATATCACAGTAATGAATCAATTATTATTCCAAAACAATGTTCTGGCCTACTTTTACATTTCATCAAATAACTACTTTGAAAAACAGAACTGTATATAGTGTAGGGAACCACCGACCCAATAGTGGTATCAGATATTGGATAGCAGAGCCGATACTGAGAAATCTGCTGGATTGAATATCAGATTCCAGATATCGATTACATATAAAGTGATATAGTAGGACCGGTTGTAGTTGGCCCAGAAAGTCTCATAATTTTTTAATTTGTATTAACATGTAGTTTGAGATAAGTAACAGCTACATAACACACTTGGATCAGTTCTGTGTTATTTTGTTTTAGTTTAGTTTAGTTAGTCCTTTTTTCCTATTACACAAAACTGACTCTTGTGATCTTTAAGGCGAGTTATAATGTTGTTACCTCATCAAAAAAACATACCTGGAGTTGTGTTTTGTTTCATTCACACATGTTTATTGTTATTATTAGTCTGTCTACATCTCCAAACCTTAAAATACGCTGTTCTGCCTTCTGACGGCATGAAATTGTAGTTTTCACATTAACAGCTACCTTTTACCTTTGATTTAGAGATTGGCAGTTCAAATGATTCTACTGAAGGTGTATGGTGTTTGAAAACACAGTGGATTGATTCCTCTATTACCACGTGACATCTCAAGCTGGAACAGAGAGTTTTTAGTATAAGAGAAGAGCTCAGCCTAAATATGCAAGGTTTGTGCATTAAACATGTGTGAATGAAACAAAACACAACTCCAGGTATGTTTGCGATGAGGAACAATATTATAACATAGATAAAAGTGCAATATGAGCCCTTTAAAGACAATAAATGCCTAAAATGTCACTTTCTATTGGGTAATGGCAGATATTTAAAACTATAGTACTGAAATTGGTATCAGAACTGAAAAAGCTGGGTCGGTGCATCCCTAATCTAGTGTCTCAAAACTACTGAGTATTTCCTTCCTTTCAAACAAGCACAAATTCCTCAGGGTTCACCAAGTGCGTTAAGTGCAATTCAAATGTCTTCTAACCCGACAGAAGGAAGAGACAGCTATGATTATATCTTGGCAAAATGCAATAGAATAACCACATCGAAAGTGCTATCCTATTTCTTTGAATTGTGGCTAATCTTTTGGTTACAATGTCAACCATGCCTCCTTAATAGAGAGGCTTCAAAAGCAGTTCAGTGATTTAAAGTGAAAGCTGGACTGCCTGGAAACACATATATAACGTTTTATTATCATCAACCACGCTGTTATCTAATGCCAGAATGCCGTAATTATAGATGTGGTGAAAGTAGTTTTGACTCCAAATGTTTGAGAATGAAAGAAAACTAGTAATTGAATAAATAAATGTATAAAACTCTTGTGCATTTTTTAAGTGTGTGTCATAAAGTAATTTGATTTTATTTGACAATTTAAAATGTAAAATGTTATTAAGCTATATATCTGAATCTGTGGTTGAAGATTTTGAGTCAAAGATATATAGATAGAGAGAGATCAAATATGTTTTTCTCCATCAATGCGTGTTGCTATATCGTTGGAGACTACTCCTATAGAAAGTTTTAACTGCTGCAAATTTGATAAACACAAGAAATACTCAAAGTTACAAGAAACATGACTTGTGGTTACAAATGACATGCTGAAAATATATTAATACAGTTTTAATTCCAAGACTCTCAAAAAAGCAAATGTTAGCCTGATTCGATTTCAAAATAAATAGCAATTTGGCTACTCAAACACTAACACTGCAGTAAGCACCTCTTTGAATCGTATACTGCAGCGGAAGGCCAGGGCCATCCAAAGCGTCATCTTCTAAGAAATCTAATGGTTTTGAGGAATGTGCATGTAATTGACTTGGCAGTGAGCTCTGTTTCTGGCAGTGGCAAATCAATTTGTGACATTAGGGTTGCAAAGTTTGTCTTCTTTCAGAGTACATATATGGTGACTTCAAAACTTTGTATCTTAAAGGAATTGTATGTATATGGTTACACTATTTTCTGATCTATGTCATAATGTTGTTTCCTCATCAAAAACATACCTGGAGTTGTGCTTTGTTTCATTCACACGTTTAACACACAAACTCTGCATATTTAGGCTGAGTTCTTCTCTCAAACAGAAAACACTCTGTTCTAGCTTGTGATGTCATGTGGTCATACAGGAAATGCCGCACTATGTTTTTCCATACTCCATACACTTTCAACAGAAACATTTGGATGATTTCAGCCCTGGAATTGCTCATCTCTACTAAACAAAAGGTAAAATGTAGTTGTTAACTTGAAAACTACTGCTTCCTGACATCACAAGTTGGAACAGAGCATTTTGAGCTTTGGAGATGCAGGCAGACTAACAGTGCAGGGTTACTAAAACATGTGAGAAAGAAACAAAACTGGTATGTTTTTTGATGAGGTAACAGCATTATAACAGGACTTAAAGCTCACAAGAGTCAATTTTGAGTAATAAAGGACCTTTAAAGTAAAAAAACTAAAACAAAACAAACAAACAAAAAATAAACAACCTACAATCAGACGTGATACTGGATTGGCAGTGTCTTAACCTGCATATTAACGGCACATACACACTTTGGTCCTTCTCAGTTTATGAACAGGTTATGCTTCAAGTGAAAGCTCAGAACCTCCAGAACTCCCTTACTTAGCTGCAAAGGCTGCACTAGCACTGATTCATGATTGGCTGTAGGTGCTGGGGGAGATTTAGATCAGAGAGAGTCGTTTTAGTTTTGAACCAACTGGATATCAGCTTTGAATGTGACAACCCAAAAGAGAAACGCATGTGAAGATTATTCTGCTTTCTGATTGGAAAATGGTCTATTGAACCAAAACACCAAATTATATCATCAACAACTTACCCACCATGTCCAATGTTTTTATAACTAAGAATAAAACTGCATTATAATTGCTATCAGTAGAAGCAATATTTGATTTGAGCATGTTTACCTTGTATCTGGGGATAAAAATAAGACAAAATCTTACATAGCCTACAGTTCCTTAAACCTTACAACCTCTCCTAAGATTGTGTTGGAGTACAGTTAAGAAATATTTACCATGATCAGGCAACATATTTGACATTGATCTACCTTTGTAGCCGCTGGGAATCATAATCTCGATTTATTACTAACTATTTCATGCATTTTCTTCTTAATAATTCATGTATGGTATGACGGATATTTCCATTCAGTCTAACAGCCTAAAGCACAGGCTAGCTAGCATATATACAACAGTAATGTCTTTGTTAAACAGCTCTAGGTTTCCTAATACACATGAGAAGAATGTATTTGCTGAGATAAGAGGATATTCAAAACTGTGCTTGAAGGCCATGCACAATAATCAGTAAAGTTGACAATGCATAAGGCTGCAAGTTATAAAGTATCTAAAATGTAAAGTATTACAGACGTAAACAACATCCAGATAATAATAAATTGTGGAATTGCCTCTCAAAATAATTATTAGCATTCAGAAAGCAGTCCTAGTCTTAGAGCTGATTCTGGTTCTGGTATAGTCCAGCCTCAACAGTTTATTTTGCTTCCTGCTTCCTTACTTTTTTTTTTTCTGGCTGATTTTAGTCCTGGTTTAGTCCTGGTCTGGTTTAGGTCTGATTTGGTTCTCTAGATTTTACGCATCTTCACAATATGAAGCAAATTTGAAAATTAGGTTACCTTTTATCAAGCAGTAAACCAGATCCAACAGACATCCGCTCCTATTATGACCATCCTTCTTCACTTTGCCACAACAGAGACTGGCTCTTCCTTCCTACATAACATCTATTAATGACTTTGCTATTACATCTAAATGGATATCTGGTTGTTTTGAAACCCCACCCTTGGATCCATGGTACATTTGCAAAAAGAGTTTTCGAGTCTATATTTCTGAAATCTGAACCTACCCGTGGTATTAAAATAGCCTCCTGTGATGCTATTGTAAACAAACTACACATTGAAATCACATGAAGTACAAACACGTCACTGATAAAACAGAGCATCAGAGATTATGCAACAACATGATCCTGGTCTGAAGAAGAGGAGGCAGGCTTGGGCAGGAAGTAAGATAAATTGTTGAGAGAGTTAGAGGGATGCACACACAGTATATGATATGTTATGGATTTTCAAATGGTCAAAATAAGTTTCATATATCTTTATTGTACAGGACCATCCATTATAACTTGTAAATGTTTTTATTGCAAATGTGTGCAAGTAGGTTTTCTATATTGGTATGTATTTATCTATTTATTTATAATTTGCATGCTATCCTATTTACTTACTTGTGTTTTAAGATGTTTTTTATGTTATACATTTGAGCTACTGTTAGTAATCTCCCTTGTGGATTAATGAAGTTTGTCTAGAACAATGCTTATGTTTTCCATGTGACAGAAACGCATGTTATGTTGTTATGGTTGGACCTAGTTTAGTCCTGGTTCAATACTGGTTAAGAGCGTACTACAGCAAATCTTCGTTTAACATTTGTTTTAATATCAGATTGCTCATAAATCTTAACTTTGAAGACTTGCCTATCTGAATCAAACGTATCCTGAACTCTGAAAACAATATCCACACATTCAGTTGACAATAACTGTACTGCACTAACCCATCCACAGTTAAAGATAGAACAAAAAGCAGGTGACTTACCAGACTTGCGCTTGGATCCATAGTCCCTGAAGGAGAAGCAACACAAGAGGGACATAGTTAGAGACAGTGGACGCCCAATTCAAGACATGCAGTCACTGTGTATGGACAGATGTATTTCTCTTGGGCAGCTACGGGCTCTGACAAAGCATGTGGCTGAGAGGAGAGACCAGAGGAGAGATCGGAGGGACAAATTTGGCCAACTGCCCGCAAAATAACACAAATTGGTCACGTGACTAAAGCAGCAGCACCATCCTCTCCCTCCCTCCTCCCTCCTCCCTCTCTCCTCCCTGGTTTATCGCTTGTTGTTGGAGGAAAAAGCAGACTCGCCTCGCATATGGGGAGGCAGAGAGGAGTTAAGAAATCCTGCACACCGGATTGTAATGAGATTAAAGCACGAGGCTAAGCTAAAGTGTGGGGGGTAACAAAGAGCCAACATGTGAAGGATTCAAATGCTGTCTGCAGACTTGGAATCGTTTAATGCTATAATGTGGAACATACCAGGCAAAGCAGTAACATGGAAACAAGCAGGTGACAGACTGTCCACCAGAACAGTTACATGCTGTACCTCAAGAACGTACACTTTTCCACCTATGTAAATCTATTAAAATTCATTATGATTTAAGTTTTCTAATACTTGATTTGGAGCAGTAAACAGATTGACTACTTTAAAGAGTCTATATTACACAAAACTGACTCTTGTGAGCTTTGAGCCAGGCTATAATGTTGTTACCTCATCCCATCCATGTAATCCTGGGTTATTACATCCCCAAAGCTCAAAATGCTCTGTGCTCTGTAGTTTTCAAGTTAGCAGCTACTTTTTACCCTTGGTTCAGTAGAAATGGGCAATTCCAGGGCTAAAATTATCCAAATGATAGTGAAGGTATATAAAAACACGGTGGAGCCTATGTTATCGCATGACATCACAAGTTGGAAGAGGGTGTTTTCTGTTTGAGACAAAAACTTGGCGTAACTATGCAGGGTTTGTGTTTTAAATATGTGGGGAAACAAAACCCAACTCCAGACATGTCTGTGATGAGGAAACATTGTAACAGAGATCAGATAAATAGCATAATACGAGTTCTCAAATGGCTAAAATAATATTGTCGTTTCAATTTGTACTCAAAATGTTAAACAAAAACAAAAAACTTGTCAAATATGCGGGCAACTAGTGTAATCCTGACTGTGGGCTTGTGGCACTCTTTGAAGTATCAGTATGTAGCTTAAAGCCATAGAAAGACAAACACCAGATTAATACAACTACAAAGTGGTTTTGATGGTCCCCTGACTTTAAACAGGAAACATATAGCTACAGTATGGGCCCTGATCTTTCACAGAGCTCTAAATGACAGGCTTATTGTCATCTCATTGCAATACATGGCACTAGATCAATGCAAGTCATCCTACAGCTATACAACTTATATATAGGCAAGAACAAATATCCCATAATTCTTTGCAGCAAGGCAGTCTGTGTTTAGTTTACACTGTCATTTCTAGGGGTGTAACAATAACTGAAATATTGTGATATTGTATCGTCAAAGTTCTCACAGTAATATCGTGGACCATCACAATATATCAAATTACAAGTCTCTTTGCTTAAATTAAGAGTTATGGTGCAGCAATAGCTAAAAGACAGAGGGAACTACATAGACCATGATCCTTTGCTCTGTTTCAGTGCAGACTCCAAGAAGAAATAGCAGTTCTAAGCACTTTTAATGTCTTAGTTCTTTAGATTAAGTCTTGTCAAGGTATTTTAAGAGGAAAAAGTAGCATATTCACAGTTCTTCCACAAAATATTGCAGGAAATATCCCATGAGATGTATATCGTAAAAAAACATTGTATCAAGAGATTTGAATATTGTTATAGCTTTCCCACGATATTGTATATCGTACCGTGAGGTTCATACCGTGACAATATTGTATCGTGAGACTTGGATATCGTTACACCTCTATTCATTTCGTATATGTTTTGAGACAACAACTCCCATTTTCAGCCATTTCATAGGTTTTTGTTTTGATGCCCTACCTGATATTATATTTATATAGATTTGTAATGAAATACAAGTATGAGTATGATAGATTGTAAATGGATTTCTACCATGATTAACAGAATTGGCAACATTTGCACTCTTGGGATATGCTAATTGTGACCACTGAAATTATAATTCCATTCAATTGTGATATATCTTGCAACCCAGATATCCTCCATATTCTATGATGGGATTGTGCAAAACCTTGTCTAACCTCCACTCCAGCTCTGTCCCTGGTGCAGTGCAGACTGGAGACATGAACGGAGCAATAACAATGTTGTTAAAGAATTCAATCCGAATGCACTGCCTTGTCAAATATTCACTGCATATAAAAATAGCTGCAGCAGTTTCCCACTAAAATCACCTCTAGACAGTGTCAGGAATAAGAGGACTGATACTATCGCCAGATTCATTTCAAGGGGATCACTGTATTATAGCAGATAACAGGATATTAGAGCAAGGGCTATGAGATAAGTAGAGACATAGGGCACATGAGGTTGGCTTAAAGTAATATGGGAGAAGCATTGATCTTCAACAGTGTAGGTCTTTGCATGACACAAGTCAAAGTATTTAAAGTTTATTAGCACTCACCAGGCTTCAGAGAACGCCTGCATAGCATTCAGGAATTACCACGGTAATAACAAACCATTTAACACGAAGGAGAACGATCAGAAAAACACATGACTGAAGGAAGGCCAGTTACCATAAAATGTGCAGCTAAGAGAGATCCCAATAAAACAATACTAAAGTTTTTCCCTAATCAACCACTACTTTACACTGAATAAAATGCTATGATGTATTTTTTTTTTAATACTACTTTAGAAGTCCCTGTAGAAATATTAGACCACAAAGATAGATTCCTATCTATAAGAATTTGAAGAAAATGAAAAGTGATCAGTTAAAAGTTAGTAATATTTTCAGTCTAAATGTTGTCTAGCATTTAACACTGAATTATATCCTTCCACCATCCAACAAAGATGTGTTTTTAACTGTATCTGTCAAGCATCAAGACACAAAGAATCAAAGATGAACATAATACCAAGATATAGCATGTCATAGTTAGCAGATAATAATTCATCTCAGGACTAAAAAGGCATTAGAAGCATAATATATTAGATTTCTAAACAACAGGTACAGGAAGATTTTTGAGATATACTATACAAACATGTTCGGAAATGCATGTGATTCTTGTATTAGTATATTAATAGTGCATCAGTTCAGTCTCAAATGTGAATGCTGAACTCGTCAAATCTTAAAAGCTAACCCCACTTTAGGCCTGGTTAGTACTTGGATGGGAGACCGCTGGGTGCCAGTTGGGTGCCAGTGAGTAAAAGTCTGTAAAGTGTAGTTATTTTACCTCACCATTACCTGAGTGCTTCTTTTTCCGTAACTATTCCTGAATTAATCAAAACCTAGAATGACAAAAGTATATTGTGGCACCTTTTAATACTAGCATCACACTTGTAGTAATAACTGTAAAGCAGACAGCAGTGGAAGGGATCACGAAATGAAACTTTATGAGTAATACAGTTTTGTTCCACTGTCACCTGTCAGGTATGTTACTGATTACTGAACTAATAATAGTAAACAACTGTCATATGAGGTTAATGGAGAAAATACTTTCAATCTTGACCACGCAAAGACCCTAAACAGAGGTAGAAATAAAAAATAAAAAGAGAGAGTGACTGTTATTGTCCTTGTCCCACCCGGTCATGATCACACGTTTCTGCCTCTCTGAATGGCGTCTTTATTCTGACCTCTGCAACACGAGCGCTCGGTGCTAGCATCCAGAATGTGCTTCATTGTCACCAAACTGGGGCAGTGCCACTCACATCACCCCATCCCTTTCAGAGCCATCAAAACAGGCTATTCTTAAACTGGTGGATATGGGTCCTACTGGTGGTACTGAGAAGATGACGATTTGTAATTTAGTTCCTTTTTTATTTTGATTTTGTCGGTTTTTGTTATAGTTAAGATTTGGTATAGCCCAGTACTGGTTTGATTCTGATTCCGTCCTGCTTAAGTCCTGGTTCAGTCATGGTTTAGTCCTGGTTCAGAGTAGTCTTGTATTGCTGTTTTTTGGTATAGTCCTGATTAAAAGGTCTGCATCCATTTTTTTTCATGTAATAAGTAGAGTTTGGCACTAGCAGAGATATGAGATTGCTGTGTGCTGTCTGCATTTAATTATCAAGTGTTATCATCAGTGAACCAGGAAATAATGCTGCTCCCCTGCATGGATTTATAATAAGAATGGATAAGACACTCTCCCTCTGGCCTGATACAAGTTCTATTAGTGGATGCTGCAGCTTCTGCGAGCTCTAGCCCGGAAAGAATTCTCCCATAAAGCGCAATGCATTTTTGGGAAATTAAACTGCCTGTGTTTAGCTGACAGCATTCGACAGCTTTCACAAATTTGTCGTTATTTTCACCAGATGAACCTAGCCCAACACTGAACCTGCTCGATTGCACTGATTGGTCATAACTGATCATTTGCTGCATGTTTCTATTGTCACATGATGAGTGGCACTTATGCAGAAGAAAAACTATTTTTCGCCACATGCACCACTGAGCACGTGGCTTTGAAACCAATACAACACCATCTTTGGTTCGTCTTCCAGATCTTATTATATTTCCATGGTGTACTATTGGCATGCTAGTTGTTGTGCGCATTACCATGTTGGCAAAACCTTACTCTGGCCTCTGAAAGTTGTGAAAAGTGCTTTCAAAACATTGAGGTGAATAACTTTGCACCATTACAAACAGTTGAAATGAACTAGGTCTATTTCACACTTTGAAACAAGTAAAAATCAGGTGCATCACCTTTAAGTCTTTCTCTACTGTTGTGCCACTTTTAAATTAATACAGTCTGGTTAAGTCAGCTAATCCTGGTATAGACTTATTAGTTATAGTTTGTTTGTTAGTTTGGCTAAGACTGACTTTAGGACATTAAATCTGGTATTCAAAGTCAGTTATTCTCAAGATGGCACTGTGTACTTTGT